ACTTGTCCAGTGTCACACAGTCCCAAGGCTAGATGCAGGACTGTATCCTTGGGTCTTCTGATATCAAAGGCAGAGGGCTCTTTCCATTGTCTTCAGTTACCCAGCCTCTACCCCTCCCAACTCCCACAACACTCTTGAGAATTGAACCTCAAACAAATCAAGAAATCCAATATCACAAATCAAGAATAAGACTTTCTTTCCAGTATATGCCTTCTTTTAGACTCAATATCAGATAACAATAAGAACAATTTTCAGTTATAGGATGCAATATTACATAGCAAATACATGTAAGTATTAAGGAATGAAGGAAATCAACTGTTATTACTAAAGTTGAAATAATTTGGCCACTTAACTCACTAAAAAACAAATGGAAAGATAAATTAACCTAAATGATTTGGCAATAACCTTGCACACACACATATATAATCTCCAAGTTTTGGTCAATATCTGTATGCAGTGAATAAACCATGAAATAAATCAATCTTATAAGTCTCTCTCCCATCCATGTCAATTTATAACTGCTGGAACAGTATTTCATTATCATGATCTCTTTGGGAGAACAGACATCTGCACATATATGCAAAGTACCATTAGTACTTTTTTTTCCTCTCTGTGTGTGTGTGTGTGTGTGTGTAAATTTGAGGCTTCAAACTGAGGCTGGGACAAACTCTGGCCAAGAACTTTCAGTGTTTCTCTACTGCTTCAAAGATAAAACTCCTCAGCCTGGTGTTTAAATTCTTCTACAATCTGATTGACATCTACTTTTCTAGATTTATTTCATTTTAGTCCTTTTTACATACTCCATTATCAAGGGTGTCAAACATTTGTCCTGCAGGCATATATTTCTGAGCGCAGCAGCCCCAAAATAAATTAAAACATAATTGAGAAATATTCAACAAAATAAATAAAAATACAAGAGTATATAATGTTAATATGTGTTTTTTTAAATCAATATGTGGTCACAAGGGACTATGCCTAAAGAGACCACAAATACAGGTCAAATTCCAACAAACTCCATGGAACTGGACAATACTATTTTGTTGCCTTGAAAGTCTGTTGTATTGATTATGATCAAGCTATGCTTGGTAAATCTTTTTGTCAAAATAATTTTCACTGTAATAGTGTAAGAGGATTTGAGTCTTACCTTAATAATCTCTGTCACTAACCTATTCCCAAACAATAAAAATTCCAAAATTAATTCTCAGTATTTTTAAATCCATGTTCTTGATCTCAAGCATAAAAATTCTGATCTTTTAACATTTCACTTCATGTTTAGCAAGACTGTATATTTACCAGCATTTTTAAATAGGCTGCCTCTCCTGAATTCATCCCTCCCCTCACAATTCTGACCTTTGTCATATGACTGAAGCCAATTCAAAGGCAGCAAGTGTTTCCCATAGTCCAAGTTTCTACTCAAGTTTACTGCCATTACATGCTACCTAAAATATCGTATCTATTTATATCTTGAGTGTTACAATAGAATTTTTGAAATAGAAAAAAATTTGAAATAGAAAAAAAGAAATTTTCTTTTTAATTCCTCAGCTGTTTCACCACTTCCAGCTGCTTATTTTCTAATGCTTAACTCCTATCTTAATACTCTACATGATGAAATCACCATTATTTGTTGGAAGATGAAATAGTACTCCAACATACAATTTGAAACAAGAAATAACTAAGCCACAGATTATGCATATAACATTTTTTTCACAAAAGAGAAAACGAAAGTATGCCTAAATTGGACCCAACCATATAATCTTAGGCTTATTTTTTTAGAATTTTCATTAAAATGTCATTAGTTCAGCAATTAAACAAACTTAACATCCTGATTTTGTCATTCTTGTCTGGGTTTCTGGATATATATAATCAGACAAACTGACAATAATTAAATGGTCTCCTAAATTTGTATTGCCATAAGTTAAAGAAATTTAAAAATCTTCTCAGGATGCTCCCTGCTTCTTCTTTTTTTTAATTTTTTTTATTCTTTTTCCTTAGGCAATTGGGGTTAAATGACTTGCCCAAGGTCACACAGCTAGTAAGTGTCAAGTGTTTGGTCTGAGGCCGAATTTGAACTCAGGTCCTCTTGACTTCAGGGCGGTGCTCTATCCACTGCACCACCAGGCTGCCCCCAAGTACTAACCAGGCCCGACCCTGCTTAGCTTCCAAGATCAGATGAAATCACTTGCGTTCAGTATGGCCGTAGACTCCCTGCTTCTTAAAAGAAGGAAAATGAAGGCAAAAAAAAATTGTTCTACTATGAAACTTTTAAACACTAGATTCATATGTCTATATTACATATTTTTAAAAGTGCAAATTATTATTTCAAACATATTCTTCCCTTTCTTCCATCTATAATTCATCAACACCAAAAGAAAAAGCCATCAGTAGTACAAAAAGTCTCTAAAATTTTTTGAAAAATACCATCCAACATGAAAGTAAGTAGCATTTATTGAAAGGAAATGAATCAAATGAATACTTTTTATTGAATACTCACCATGCATAAGGCACTATACACATGCTGCAATTTTATCAGACCAGAAACACCACAAAAAGTTATCCCAAGTTCCATTTTGCCTATAGGTTTCTGTCTCTTGTTATATATCTCAAGCAATAAGTACCCTGTTCCATTCAAATTGGACCTCCTAAGAAATCTTTGACTTGGGATGGGGTAGAGAAGAAGAGATTCATTCTTCAACTTGGCAGCATAGTCTCTAAACCAAATTTTCCTCACAAAGTATTTAGTAATTGTAGTAATTTCACACTTTTGTGTTAGTAAAATGTTATATGTATACATATGTACACACACTCACTCTATGGAGACCCAGCAGTTTGTTGATTAAGACCCACTAAAAATGGAACTCTAGCAATATTGCTGAATATATCTAGAGTTCTTTCCTATTCAACTATAAATTACTATTTAAGGTCTAAATTTTTCTTCTAAGAATACCTTAGTATATCTAAGTTAGATTGTAATTTAGGTTAGTTTTGGCCTCTGGCAATTAAGTTTCATATTTTAATTAGATGTGATTATCTTTAATGTTTCTATAATATGGTTATGTGAATCAATCAATAAATATTTATTATATTTACTAAGTGCACAGCATTAAACCAGGTACTATGGGGAGATAAAAGGATCAGATAGGTCCAAATATAGGCCACATTCCTAAAACAAGAGCTATCTGAAGGGGGAAAAAAATAGGCATACATTAAAAAAAACAACAACAACAAATAAAAAACACCAAGTTTAGGCCACACATGATACACACGGACCAAATTTGTCAGGGAGAGTGTAAAAAGTACAGTCTATGTTCAAACCAATACAATATGAGACACCTCACTGAAAGGCTGCTATGTAAATTAACTATCCACGGTGTTCTATAACAAAGATAATTTGTTTAGAGCAGAATTCTGGGCCCACCTCTATTATCAACTAGCTACATAGCATTGGGCAAGTCATTTAACTCCTCTGTGGGTCAGTTTCTTTATTTATAGAAAGGGAATAACAATAACTACTCAATTATGATGAAAACAAAATCATGCATGTTAAAATACTTTGACATCTGTAATGTGCTATACAAATAAAGGCATATCATTCTGTGCTCAAAACACTTTAAGACTCATGATTACATGAGTCTATGTAATGTTTACATTAGTGATATCATTAGTTAAACTAGCTAAGCTTAATACTGAAAGACTGCTTAGCACAGTAAATAGAAGACTGGCTGCGGCCTCAGGAAAACCTAGGTTCAAATTCTGCCTCTGGCAGTATTTGTCATTCAACTCTCAGTGCTCCAGGTAATTTCTCTAAGACAATCATCTGCAGACTAGTTGCTACATTGATATTTGGGGGTTTCCACACCAGGAGTTCTCTACCCCAATGAAATCACAAGTCCAGAACTACAACAACAACAAATGTTAGTGTTAGCAAAAAAGATTTATTTCAATGTTAAATTATAAAAAAACAAGCAGAATCTTGCAAAATTGTCAGACTAAAATAGCACCATTAAGGAGCAAAAATTATTAGTATTTACATAGGCAACATAACTAAGAAAAATCTATCACTCAGAATGTTGATTCCCTCATTTTATCTGGAATTTAGACATAATGTATTTTATATAGTACTATCTTATATTGAAAGCTCTTTAAGATCAATTATGCCATAGATGAGCAAGAAGTTAACAATTACTGTATTATATATTGCAATAAAATGCTGACTAAAAAACCTTCTCCAAAACTGAAGTGTACAGGTTACAGTTTTATTTGCCACCCCTCAAACGTCCCTGCCCATACACATACACGTATATACATTTTAAATGTTAGCTATCAAATAAAAACTAAACCATCTGCCTCTTTCTCTACTCTTCCTCTTCAACTTCTTCCCACAGCAACCTGGCATTGGCCTAATTCTGAAAGGAATTTCCCCTTTAGGATCCATTAAGACCACTATTAGTCCACCTGGATTGTTTTGAGTTTAATACCATATTCATGGACTTCTAGGTCTTGCAACCATTAACTAAAGTATAAATAACATGTGGTCTTAAATGCGAATGCACAGTATTAGTAACAGAAGGCTCAGTACCCTCAATGGTCATAAGAAAAGTATGGATGGCTATTTAGTCAATTGCATGTAATTAACTGATGACATATAAACTGGCTTGATGTAGGTCCAGAGAAAACATTATACATTGTAGTTATTTGCTAAGGCTACTTCTTAAAGTTCAATACTTTTGCATTTAATAGATCTGAGAACCAATAGCCAAGTTGATGTCAATTTTGGCAAATCAATCATATTCAATCAATGGAATGAAAATGTTTTAGATTGCATAAATCTGGATCTACATGAAAAGATCATTAAAGAAGCATATCAAATGACATGAAAAATATCTAAGATATGAAGAAGAATAAAATGAATGTCAGTAAAGAGTGTGAAAGAAGAGAGAGGCACACTCACACCCGTGTACATCCTCCCATTCCCCTCCCTCCCCCAGAGACAGAGAAAGTACCTGGAAAGCTGTGAGTGCGCCAGTCCCTGGGTTATACAGGCATCGCAGCGAAGGCATGCTGTCCGCCAGGCTGGAGCAGCCCAGCCACAGAGACCTGGGCATAGAGCACTGCAGAGAGAGGACAACTATGAGATGAGACAGTATGAGACAGGATGGCACAGATTACAGGAACTTTAAAGGTGTTGCTGAATTGTGTCAATAGTTACAGCTGGCCTTCAGGACGGAAACATCTTCAAGAAACACATACTACTAATTGGTCTACCCCCCAAGAGAAAGTTAGAAAGGTCATTAATAGCAAAGGAAGGAAAGAAAGGGAGGAAGGGAGGGATCAAGGGAGGATGAAACTGAAGGAGAGAAGGAGGGAAGGATGATGGAGAGGGAGAGATGAGAATAAAAGATGGCCTAGTCCAAAAAATTAAATATTTAATCAGTTTTTTGTATCTCTGTGTATTTGCTCAAAGGAAAATTATGATTCTGTCCAATTAATCAACCCTCTTTCCGTATGCATAGGCAGTTACCTCTGATGTACCATAGGGTGAACAATTTTGCAAAGTAAGCAGAAAAGGGGGAGGGTCCATGGCAGCATTTTAACATTAGGAAAACTAGAAAACAAAACACTTCAGTAAAGTTAGACTTTTTAGAGGTTAGGGAAAAGAAAAAAGGAAAGAAAGTATAGCAACAACTTTGGGGGCAATGACAGTAACTAACTCTGTGACAGTTTGCATGTGTTTTATGTGTTTAGTTACTTTGCTATTCATTACGCAAAATGCTTCGTTACCATAGCAGCTGCCTCTTCATCTTTCCAGATGGATTAACATTACACAAAGGGGCCAAAAAATAACTAAAACAGAAGGAAAAATAACAACAAAAAGCCCCCACGGAGCTGCTCCTAATATTTAAAAACTAACTAAAAAGAAGGTAAAATACTAGAAAACATAACAGTATTCTCAGTATCAAATAGTCCAGGAAAACTTGGAAAACTTTTCACTATGCTAATGTTATTATTGTCTTAGAGATTCAAAAAATATTCAATCCTTTACTGTGATATTTAACATGCGTCATTTATTTCTACAGTTTACCACAACAAATATTTAAAAATAGAATATCTTTGTTCAAAGGATAACCTTAATACTCTGCTACTATTTAATCGTGTTTGATTAGAATAAAAGCTAAGTATCTGGCCATCATGTGTAAGAAACATGAAAGAATGCTTTTTTAAAAACATTAATTATAAATAATGCTGAATGACATTTGGTATTTTCAAAGATTCAAAAGGATGATGACATAGCATTTTAAATTTTAAATAAAAACTTTGTAACCTATAGGTTTATATTAGACTATAATTGCTATATTTAATTATATATAATTATATTATATAATATATAATTAATTATTATATTAATATATTTATATTTATATTGATGCTATTAGCATTAGAAATATTGCTATTAGCATCTGAAAATGAAATTTAATATATATGACCCACATCATCTAAAATTGGCTTATATATTCTATTAGAAGGAAAAGGGACACTTAAGAACTGATGAGAACTCTGTAGGTTTCTCTTCACAATTACAGAATTATGAGTCTAAAGCTGGTATCTTCATTTTATAGATTAAACAATTGAGGCAAGGAGAAGTTAAATGACTTTCCCATGGTCATAAAGTTAATAAGTAATGAAATGTGTATTAGAATTCAGGTATACTGCTTTGCAATATTTCATTACAATATGCATCAATGCCCGGGAAGCAATCAGACAATAGCAATCTTAATACCTGAACCATTAGTTGATTTCCTCACCTCTAGTGTTTCCTCACTCAATCTGTCTTGCATGTGATAGCCAAAATACCATCAAAGGATCTATCATCTCCTACACGAGGAGACTCCTTCTGGTAGTGAATATTGCAACCCATTCATCCCTTCTCATCCTTTTTAACCCTAATCCATGTCCTCCCATGAATACTCTGCACAGAATATACACTTAACAGGCTACAGGCCTTTTTCTAGGTCAGGTGTTCTTAAACTATGCTCTGTGAACTTAAAAATTTGATAAATATTTCAATATAATAGGTTTCTCATATATGTATGTATACACACACATACACATATGTATATATAAATTTTATACATTTCATAGGCATCATCAGACTGCCAAAGGTATCCATGACACATTAAAAACCCTTCTTCTAGATTTTTGTTTAACATTATAAGGATACCAGTGCAGCATATGGACTATCCATGTTAGCCCTTACTCTGGCTACACCACCTTTTGTAGTAATAGACTGGTGATTGTATGAGGAAGGGGAAGTGGACCTGTGATTTCATCATTGTACTGAGCTGGCTGATGAGGATTTCCTTTACCTTCCCTGTAGCTTACCTGTCTTGGAGAGTTTCCTGGGGGCACTGAGAAGTTAAGAAAAAAATCAAATAGCCAGTATGTGTTTGAGGCAGACTTAAGCTCAGTTCTTCCTGATTCTGAGGCCAGATCTCTGTACAAAAGGCCACACTACAGTTTCTTTTTCCAATCAGACATCTCTTCAATGACCTCTTTCATGCCACTTTTTGTATGCAACTCCTGGGTTAAAGGGAGCTTGGTATATCAGAAAGACTGCTGGATTTGGTAGAGGATATGAGTTTGAATATTGGCTCTTCTATTTTCTACCTATACGACCCTTTTCGATTCATTTTGCCTTTTGGCTGCTCATTTCCTCATCTGTAGAATGAGGAGGTTGAAACAGATGGCCTCTAAAGTTTCTTTCACTTATACTTTAAAATCCTATGCTGCAGTCTACTGACATCCACCACAGGCTCTTCATTGCCCTTTGGGTGAGCCACAATTTTAATTCTTTGGAGATCATAGCACTTGGAACAGTGGTGTTCCACTGTTAAATTTTTGTTTCAGAGAGAAGTTTGGAATAAATGAAGATATTGTAAAATTTCCCAAATGCAATCCAGCCCACCCGTCCACCTGTAGTGTCTGTCCAACATATATGCACTGATGGATGAGAGTTCAATAGGGTGTCCACCCAAGTACAAACCAAAGTCAGAACAATAGTTCATCCTCTTGGTTTTTCCTATGTAGATTGTTAGGCTGAACTCTTTCGGGTGGTTGTAAACCTCATTTGGGGAACAGCTAGAAAAATCATCCTCAAGCATCTTTTTCATTATGTTACTCTCCTATATAAGAATTTATGATGATTTAATAGAAGATTTTTTGATGTGTTGATTGATTTTGCTGAAGTTTTTTGCCTCTTTCTTTAAAAAAAAAAATCCTGCTATAAGGGATAGCATCTTGGGAGAAAAGGGAAAAAGGGGCACAGAGGTAATGTAGGTGATATAAAAAAACAATAAAAATCTATTTTTAAAAATAAAACAACCCCCCCTCCAAGTAATTTATGGTGACTTGCTATTATCTATTTTATGAAATCCCAAATCTTTGGCTAGTACCACCAACCTCTAAATCTCAATCTCAATATCATTCCCTGGTGCACATTACTTGTTTTTTGAGGCCCATGCATTCTTGTACACACAATTCCTCATCTGAAGCTTAAAATAATTTCCATCTTCTTTCTCTGTCAATCCATGTTTATTATATCTCTTTATACAGCCTTTCTTAATTCCACCAAATTTAGTCACTTTTAAAATGCTGAATTACCTCCTCAACATTTATATACTTACTCTGATCTACAGACAGTTGCTTTAGAGGTATTAAAATGTATTAAACTGAATTTTTATAAATTAATTTTTGTACAGAGTCCTCCATTCTTTGCAGAGGAAGGGGGGGGCACTCTAGACAATAGAATAATTCACATTTTAAACAGACTTGATGTGTTGGATGGTTGGTTGTTTTGTGAAATGCTTTTTTTTTCTCTATCTACTCTTTGTTACAAAGGATAACTGGCTAGGTTGGGAGGAGGGTATTCTTATAAACTAAGTTGATATAAAAAAAGATAGTGGATGAAGAGCCAGCCCTGAAGCCAGGACGACTTGGAATAAAATTTGCCTTGGACATATATTGTTTGCATGACCTTGGGCAAGTCATTTACTTTCTCAGTGTCCCTATGTTACCCTCTAAAACTACATCAACTGCAAAACAGTGGTAGAAGAAGTTTTCTTAAACTTGTTAAGATTTTAATGAAGTGAACAGAAACAGGAGAACATTGTGTAACAGCAGTACTGTATGATGATAAACTGTGAGTGACTTAGCTATTCTCAGCAATACAACAATCCAAGATAATTCTGAAGAACTATGATGAAAAATGCTGTCCACCAACAGAGAAAGAACTGATAGCATGTGAATGGAGATTGAAGCATATTTTTCTTTACTTTCTTTATTTTTCTTGGGTTTTTTTTTTTTTTTTTGGTTTATATTTCCTTTCACAACATGACTAACGTGGAAATGTTTTGCATGACTGCACATGTATAACATATCAAACTGCTTGCCTTCTCAATGGGGGGGAAGGAGAGAGAATTTGGAACTCAAAAATTAAAAAAAAAAAAGAATGTTAAAATTCTTTTAAAGTATTAAATTTTTTTTAAAAGTAAGTTTTCTTACCCAGGAGTTCCCTACACCAATAAAATAACAGATCTAGTTCCTATCCTTATAAGAAGATACGAATAAAAATAAGAAAAAAATGGAACATTCTAAATGCACTAGGAAAGTTGTATTTTTCAAAAGAATCTTTCACTGAATAGGTTTTTAAAATGAGATTCTTCTGTGATAGAAATAAACACTAATTTATTCATTTTATAAATATGGATTTTGCTGTCAATCAATCAGTAAGCATTTATTAAGTGTCTAGTTCTATGTGAGGCTTTGGAAATACGAAGACAAAAGTGAAACAATGGCTCTCCTCAAAAACCTTACAATCTTGCAATAATCTGTACATTTATATGTCTATACAAAATTGACACAAGATAATTTGAGGGGAGAGAGGTAACAGCAACTGGCGAAGGAGCAGAGTAATGTAGAAGGTAGTGATTGAGCTGAGCCTTGAAGAAAACTAGGGCTTCTAAGAAGTCAAAGTAGAGAGGGAGTACATTCCAGGCCATGAGGGACAGGAAGTAGAAAAGCACTGAGATGGGAAATGGAGTACTACGGAGAGAAA